AGTCTCAGACGAAGGAAGTGGGGCTGGGAGTCGGCCTTCCATAACGAGCGTTCGAAGCCCCTCGCTTGCTCTGAATACCTGCGGAATGGCACGAGTGGCATCGGCCAGAGACGCACCAATTGCCCACCCTCACTTCGGCTGTGTGTCGTCTCCGTCTGCGCCGGCTCACGTGCATGTGTCATCCCTCCTGCTAGCGTCGCAAGAAACTCGTCGGCCAAGCGTGAGTGTTGCATCGCAGGAGGGCGCATCTGCACTGCGCCCCGTCTCTCTCGCTGCCTCCTGGCGCTACTGGCGTCGCACGAGCCCCTGCGGCCAAGCGTGCGCGCGTCGCGGCACCAGGCTCCCCTGCTAGCGCCTCGCGAGCCCCGCTACTGGCCGTTGATCGGGCGACCAAGCTCCCGCTCCAAAGCCCCCCTCGGTGCCGATCCCGGCTTGCGAACTGCTCCTTCCTTGCGCAGCTGCTTCGCGATAATCGTCTCCAGCTGGTGATGCGACGTCTTGACTTGAAACTGGAACCGGCGCCTCTCCTGAGCGCCTCCTTCCTTGCCCTAGTTCTTGCGTGCCCTGAAGAGCGGGGTGCTTGCTGTCCGCGGCCTGCCCCGCGCTGGCCATGCAAGATGATGCCCTGGTAGTGCTTCTCGATGAGGCCCCTGTCCGCTCCATGCGCCATCGCGCGCACCGCGTAGCTCGCCGCGCCGGCCCGCGCTCGGATACGTGGGCTGCCGAGAGATGCGGTGCCCACTTGCCCTCCCTGATCTGCGCGTCGTCGTAAGTCTTGGGCTGCCTCGCTGCGCCCTCGTCCAGAATCCACTGCAACTTTGGCGATCCCGCTGCTGGCTTCGATCTCCCACGTCTGCGTGGCCGCCGCCGCCGACCCCGCCTTCTCCCAGGCAAATGCGAAGGCGCGAGCCGCGCCGTAAGGTCCACCGCCTGCGCGTTGGGCGCTGATCCCCCTGCCGCTTCTGCTGCTGCGCCCCCAGGTGGGTGTCGCGGCTGTCGGCAGAGGTCTGGTCGCAGTGGCCCTCCTGGCACCAGTGCCGCGGATCGAAGAACACCATCTTCTCTGGGAGGCTGCAGGGCCGGCCTCGCCAAGTGCCTGCAGAGATGCTGAAACAAGGGGCCCTTGTCTAAGGCGAACTGGCTGCAGATTGGACACTTCGTTAGCGTTTTCGTCGGTGGGCCCTGGTTTCTGTTCTGTCTGAATTGTAACTCGCTGTTATCCTACTTCTTGCGAGACGTTGCCGCGCCGACCCCCGACTCGCGAGTGCCTGGTGGCAATTAACGCACCCATTTTTTACAGTAAGTCACGCTGCTAGGTCATGCGCCTGCTGAAACCTGCCGGCGTGGCTGCGTGGCGCTGTCTTGCTCGACAAGAGTAATCCACGCTCCGCTTGCCCGTCCCTGAATTTGCGTTTCCAGCGTCGAAGGTCCCGTAGGGCGGGTTCTTCTCGTAGTGCGTCGTTATGTGCCTGTCCTGGATGGGGGGCCGCCACCATCAGTTTAGCTGCTCTTGCCTCTCGGGCATCTAGTAGGTGAAGCTGTTTCCTAATAAACAGCGCGGACATGTTCCCGATCGTGACCTCCTCCCCGGATGTGGATCTGAAGCTCTAAAACTTGGCGCGGTTTCTCTGCGCCCTCCACAATTCTGCGGGCCCACGGGTTCGGGTTCGCCGTCGGCTCGTCCGCGTCGTTCTCCTCGTCGTCGTCATCGTGCTCGAATCTGACGCGTTCGAACAGGGCGACGATAGGCTGTCTACGTTTGTCCGGGCATCTCAGAATGCTCCTGTCAAACCAAATGTCGGGGCCGGCCAACGCCCCCCCCCCCCCCCCCCCCCCGCCGCTGGAGGCAGCGCTTGCCGGCGGCGGGAGACCTCCAGCGTAGATGGGCCGCGGCCTGTGCCGCCCGCGCGGCGCGCGCTCGCCTCGCCCGCCATGGCCTTCCTCCGTCGCGCCCCCATCGCGCTCTGCAGTAGCTGGCTCTCGTTCAACCTCGGCAAGAAACGCTCGATGCAGGAGAGGCCTGCGTCGATCACCCAACGGATGAATACTGCCCGATTCCATATGTATGCGATGTCCTCCTTCGTCCAGAAAACGCCTCGCTCTTGGTAGCTCTGCTTGCGTTTCTGGAGCTCGTGGCGGCGGCTCTGCGTCGCCGTCGCACGCGGGCCCAAGTGCCGCGGGGGCGTGCGTTCAGTCTCGCCCGCCTTCCGCGCCTGCTCGGCCAGCTGGCGCGCGTCTGCGTTGCTCTGACTGAGGGTCATCTTCCTCAGGTCGCCCGCGTACTCTGTCAGGCGCATGTATACTGGATGCTGGAAGAGCTCGCTGGCGCCCCCGTCGTTCGCCATCTCTTCGTTGCAGTCGGCGGTCCTTTTCTGCGCGCGCGGCAAAGATCTTGCCGCGGAGTTGCGCGCCATGTAAGGTCGCGCATGAGTCTTCCGCAGCGCGTTTCGACGCAGGCTCCATCCTCGGCATCTCTGCACGGCGTGTTAAACGTGATTCGTCGGCATCGTTGCTCGACCAGGTCTCGAAGGTCGTCTGGCATGATCTTGCCGTTGGCCGCGTCCATCGCTGTTCGCGAGCAGCTCGCGAAAGCGCTGGGCGCGTCCTTCGTCGTCGAGGCGAAATTGTAGCCCGCGCGTCTAGCTTTGTATTCCACCGTCGCCGTGGTAAGTGTTGCCCTTTCTCTACGATTGCCCTTGATGGAGCCGTAGTCCTGGTCGCTGTGTGCTAGATTCTGCTCGCGTCGTAGTCCCGCCGCGTAGTGCGCCTTGCCAATCGGACCCATGATGTGGTAGACGCGTTTGCCTGCTAGGCCCTTCTTCATGTTCTTCTTTACTGCTGCTGCCGCGCTTTGATGCCCTCGTGCTGGCGTCGCATTGCCAGGTCGCATCGCTCCAAGTGCCGCCTTGACGAGCGCTTGGATGTGCTATGGTTTCCGCTGGTCTCTGTGTTGTAGTCAAAGTCTGTGGCGCTGTTTTGGTTGATGGTCATTGTGTGGACACAGAAGTAGCCCCCATATCTCTGATGGTGCAGTTGTGGGTGGTACAGCTCGTTGTAATCTGGCTCGTTTAAGACACCTCGCGATCTCGTCGTAGTCCTCCTCGCACTTCTCCCCCAAATCCTCCTCGTAATAGTCCGGTTCCTCCGCGTCGTGAGGTATGGCCTCCACGTCTTTTGTGTCCTTCTCCGTTCTTTCCATGCCTCCTGCGCCCCATGGTAGTTGCCAGAAATCGATGCACTCTTGCTTTTTCGGGTTCGCGGTGGTGGCCGCCCAGAAGTCGCACTTCCTAGGTCCGTGGCGGTCTCCTGCGATTCGCCGCGAAAGTCGTCCCACTCGTGCTAGGTCCCGCTGCTCCCACGCCATGTGCACCTCCTCGGCCCTGGCACCGGTGCGCTTCTGGTGCCCTGTTTTGCGCATCTCTCTGCAGGTCTTCGTGATGGTTCTCAGGTGGTTCTCGATTGTTCGCATTCTTGTTTCTGTCTCTGTGAGCTGCTCTGGTATCTCGTCGGCGCATGGGTTGCTGGCTGGCGTTCTCTGCCCCTGGGGTTCGGTCCCCTGGGTTCCCCCCTCCTCGAGGCGTTCCGTGCATAGCGGGGGCCGCGACGAGATGAGCTCGTTATGGCGGTTAGCCTCTATAGTACTGTCTGCATGTAGGTCGTGGGGAGCTGCCCTGGCTTCTCGTCGTTCTCGAAGTAGCTGTATGCGGTCTCTGCGAAATTGATCGTACTCGTCTGTCGCCTTAGGCCGTGGTCCGTAGTGTTCCTGCGCCTTTGTGATCAAGATCTCGCTGGCATCGCTGGATAGCTGGTCCAGGCCCTTGCCCGCGGGATCGTGCTGTGCGATTTCCTCCTCCACGTCTGTGATGAAGCCTGGGCGGTGTAGTCCGTGTCGTACTGCTTGAGCCAGGCTATGCTTGTTCCATCTGAGTGGCTGGTGTCGGTGATGTACTCGTTGCCGCAGCGGGAGTCGGAGTGTCACTTGTGCTGGTACGTGGTCGCGTCGTGCTCTGCACTGTATATGTTGCAGCCGTGCGCCCATGGGTAGCAGTGGTCCCTGCGAGACACTCGCCTCTGTCAGGCTTTGCAGTATCAGGATGTGGTCGATGCAACTCGCGCGCTTCTCGCCGAAATACATTGGGCGCCAGGAGTTCGTGGTGTTCGAGATAATGAATCCGTGTCGTTCTGCGTACTGGCGGGCCTTCTGGCCCACTCCTCCTGCTAATCGTTCCAGCGCCCTGCCGGGACTCACTTCCAGCGTGTCTAGTCGAACCGCTTTCTGTGTGATGCCCACGCCGTCGTTCTGTCTGCCCGCCGTGGTGATGATGGCGTTGTGCGGCCTATTATTGATAACTGTCTCCATCCAAGCGAAAAGCCTATTTGCGGTGGCGAAGTAGTACGTGCGTGCATTATTTCCCTGGGTGGGCTGTGGCGGGCAGTAGTATCCTATGATGATCAGCGTCTGGTCGTGGTGCTGCAGCGTGATGGCAATTCCTCGCCCACTAAGTTCTGGTTGTGGCCCCGCCAGGTCAATGACTGTAGCATTCCTGAGCCTGCCCTGCAGCGCGATGGTGATCCCCGTGCTCTCGTTGGTGAGGTTTCCTGCTTGCCAGCCCGCTTCGTAGTAGCGTATGTTCTCGCAGCGGTTCTGGGTGACGACGGGTTCTCTTCTTCTGCGTGCTGTTCCCGTCAATGGTGTTGCGTCGATTTGTTCTGCAAATATCCGTTAGGTTGTTTGGCTTTGCCGAGAGCGGGCTGAAGCGGAACGCTGCGAGAGAAACGGCCCATGCCGCCATCATGCGGGCCGCCGCCCCGTCTACCCACACGAGCGGTGGAATGATATGATGGCGGTCTGGGCTGTCCTGACAATCTCTGAGACCCAGATGGCAGCTAGAAGGAAGAGGAGGAGGAGGAGGAGGAGGAGGAGGAGATGGAGGAGGAGGAGGAGGAGGAAGAGGAGGAGGAAGAGGAGGAGGGGGGCAGGAGCAAGAGGCTCGAAGAGCCTCGCCGTCCACGCCAATCAGCAGGGGCTTCTGAGGGTCCTGCCCGTTGTACCTGGCTTGTCGGCTTCGGGGGCAAAGGGAGTGAGGTGCTACGTTGGGGCCGTCAAGGGGGGGGGGATTTCGGACATTTTCGTCTGCTCTCGATGGTTCTCCAGCCTCGGGGTGCGCTCCAGCAGCTGCGCCCCACCGAGGAGCGTCGGGGGCTGCCCAGATCGTCCCAAACGGCCGCTGGAGATCCGAGTTATGACCCGAAAGCCTGACGACGAGGATCACATGGGGGGCCAGCTGAAACATCGAAGAGGAATTGATGATACATCGCCAATAGATGGGCGATTATTAGGCCCTTGAATACGAATCCATACGCCCCTGAGCGGGGTGGGATCGGCGATCAGTGGCGATTGGGGTCGATGCATCCCCCCCTGAGCCTATCCATCCGAAATGTTGCACCTGACGTAGGGGCATATAAGACAGGAAGAGACAGGAAGAGAGTGAGTATGAGTGTGAACGTAAGGCGCAATCAAAAGCAGCTGGAAGGCGGACAGGCATCATACTGCTACGCATGCCTGCAGCTGGGGGCTTGCTCTGGTCTGCTCAGGAGGGGCCCAGGCGACACGCCATGCCCTGCGAGCTGATCGCGTGTCGCTCACCTCCACGGGGCGGGAGGCTTCGAAAAGCTCGAGACGTGAATGCCTGGGAACTGGGGACGTGGTTAGCGTGTCCCGCCGAAGCGTGGTGGGCGATACCCCTCGCAGCGACACGCTAAACCATACACGTATGCGGCCATGGCCGCCACCTCGTCCACCGCATGGCCGGGGAGGAGGAGGAGGAGGAGGAGGAGGAGGAGGAGGAGGAGGAGGAGGAGGAGGAGGAGAAGGAGAAGGATTTATTGTTATTGTTCATGCGGTGGTCTGCCGAGCTTTTCGAGTACTATACTGAAGACTGAAGAATACGTAAAGTGTGTTTTCGGCAAAATGTGGGATCATGCCGTTGCGCACGGGGACGTCGAATCTCTCATTGTCACGATCGCACTGGACGAGCAACACTTCGACAATATATATATATATATATATATATATATATACATATTTACACATGTGTATATATATATATATATATACATCGAGCTTGTGCTCGCGATTAATTGTGCACCAGAACCACAGACACGATGAGCATCGTCACAGATGCGATGAGAAAGGCCTCCCTAACCTACCGATCTTTCCTGGCCTGCCCTCTTCTTTTCTAATGGTCCTTCCCTCTCTTGGGGGTGCTGTCAGCGAGGCCGGCGCAGTCTGCTCGGCCCGGCCTGATCTCGACGAAGCCGAGCGGCAGGAGGAGGTGAACGGCGGTGTTAGAGGGGAGGAAGGAGGCGGAGGAGGAGGAGGAGGAGGAGGAGGAGGAGGAGGAGGAGGAGCAGGAGCAGGAGCAGAAGCAGGAGGAGGTGTCGGAGGATGGCCGCCGATACCTCCGCCAGCCCCACTCCGACCTGGCGCCTGGTCCGCCGAAGCTTCTGGTATGGCCCTCTCGTCGTGGCACTAGGCTTCGTGGCCACAAGCAAATCTTTCCGCCCTCGAAGGGTATGCCCGGGCATCCGGAAGCAGGCGTACAGCGCCCTCTTCCCGCCTCCTCCTCCGCATTTGCCCGCCCGTCCTGCCCTCGCCCTCCTTGGGTCCACTGTGCCAGCCTTTCTGGCGGGAGCGGGGCGGTCAGTGCTTCCTCTTGTGGTTGGGGCGGGATGGGGTCGGAGTGTACGGGGGGGGCGCCACGCTGAATCCCACGTCGCTGCTGCACTGGCGCTTGGCCCGAAGAGAAACCAGGCGCCGCAGGCGCCAGCGACCTTCATGAGTTTATGCCTCGCCATGCAGCCTCACATCTGTCGGGGTCGGTGTCACTCGAAGCGTCTCCGTGTGACATGCGCCAGTGGTCTGAAAGACTTTCGCGGCTAGACGTTGTTACACAACGCCCAATGCCAGGCCGTGATGCTTTCACTCGAGATGTGGCGGCTGTGCGCTCGCAGTCCAGCGTTGCACAAACTGATGTGCTGCCACGTCGTGCTCCCCGCCACCGTCCATATTATTCTTCCTCGTCCTCCTCGTCTGCCCCCTCCCGCGCTTCCATCCCTCCACTCATCCCTCCTCTCGCCATCGCTCGGACGTCCATTCCCCGTGCATTGGTCGGTTCCGTGCGAGTATTTTGTGCAAGGTGATCCTTGATGCTCCTCGATGGTCCTCGCCAAGATATCATGCACACGTCCGAGCGATGCCAAGTACTTCGTCTTCACGTCCGAGCGATGCCAAGCCCTTCGTCTTTCCATGTGCCGCTGCATCTAACACCCAAGACGACAGCACCAGGGGAGCGCAGCCAGCCAGCGCGAGGACGCCCCGCGCCATCGGCTTCGTCGTCGTCGTCGTCATCGTCGTCGTCGCCGTCGTCGTCGTCGTCGTCGTCGTCGTCGTCGTCGTCGTCTCTGTCATCGTCGTCTCCATCGTCGTCGTCGTCGTAAGACGCGGCGCGACAGCGGTGGCGCCGTCGGCCTACAGAGGCGCCTATACGTGTTTTGAAATGCAAGGTGGCAATTTTTCGCTCCTCACTGCCGCCATTTCGGATTCGCGTCGCTCACGTGAGCGGGGCTGCTGGAATCTCGGTAGCTTCGGCTGTACTTTTTCGGTCGCGGCCGCGAGCGAAGAGCGCAGGCGGCGATAGAAGTTGTCCGGGGCTGCGAACAAACCTAATTAGCTGCAGGGCGCAGAACAGGCTTCGGCTGTACGCGAAAGCACCGTGTACGCTTCACCCAGCGCATTGCCATCCATATGGTCACACGCTGGACTGCCGCCCCGTAGCGCGTGGGTGCCAAGATTGAATGTGGAGGTGGAAGAAGGCTGGGTGTTGGTGGAAAAGGAGGACCATAACATACCGTGCGTGTCGACCGCTGTGAGCGTGTTGACCGCCAAGACCTTCGGCCTCGGTACCGCTCGACGGCTATCGGTACATTAGCCAGAACCGAGCTCACGGCATAGGAACTTAGGCCTTGTGCACTGCAGACCTTCGTGAAGGGCCACGCGTGCTCTTCAGTAGGGTCGGGTAGATGTGAAGTGGAGCTTGGAGGTGGTGGAGGAACTCTGAGGGCATCTGTGAGTTGGCCTTGCACCGACCTTCAAGCGGAATGGCTCGGAAAAGATGCGGTGGGCGTGGGACAACCCACCGCATCGGCATTTTAGCTACCGCGCACGTTACTCGAGGGCATCTTTACATCGGCTCTTTCTCGAAGATGTATGGGGAGCGGAGGGGTATGGATGAGTGGGGGGGTCATCCTTGCCACACACAGGCGCTGCAGCATACTTGCTGCTTCCAACTGTCTTGCGTACCTTGGTTCTCGCCGACGCGCGCTGCTGTACAGGGCCTGGCCTTATCGAGCGCAACTTCTCTGAACAATCGTTTCTCGGATCGTTGCCACCAAGACGCGACGGCTCAAGCAGACCAACGCTTGTCCAACGTAAAAAGGAAGATGATGCCTCTTTCTCCCCGTCCCCTTCCTGTTCCTCCGTGTCCTCCTCCTTCCCCTGCAGGAGAAGCTCGGCGTCGTCTTCGTCGTCGCCCCGCTCGTCGGCACCTCCTCGACGCCCTCTGCCTCCTCCCTCTGTCTCCTCCCTCTCCATCCCCCCCCTTCGACGTTTCCGCGCGCCCACGGCGGCGGCCCAAGCGCTCCAGCAGGTCGGGGGCCCGCCACTGCCGGGGCTCCACGCGCATCCTGGCGACGAGCTCCTGCCACTCCTTCCGCCGCCTGTTCGCCCTCTTCTCCTCGCTCGGCGGCGCCGTGGGGGGGGGGAAGCGGATAGGGCGGAAGAGGAGAGGAGGGGGAGGAGGAGGAGGAGGAGGGGGAGGAGGAGGAGAAGGAGGAGGAGGAGGACCAGGAGGAGGAGGAGGAGGAGGAGGAGGAGGAGGAGGAGGAGGAGGAGGAGAGGAGTAGGAGGAGGAGGAGGAGGAGGAGGAGGCGGGGGGGAAGGGGGGGGGAAGGAGCAGAGAGGAAGGAAGAGGGAGAGGAGGGAGGGAGCAGTGAGCCCGCTGAGGTTTTGGGAACTGCGCGTGTCGAACATTTTTTTGCCATCGGGACGAGGGAGGAGGGGGAGGGAGGGGGGGGGGGTTGAATGGGGGAAGGACGAGGAGGAAGATGATAAGGATGAGGGTCAGGGGAAGGAGGATGGGTAGGAGGTGGGAGATGAAGGTGAAGAACATGACAATTAGGAGGCAGGGTATAGGGGAGGGTGAGGGAGCTCGGTGGATGGCGGAGGGACGGGGGAGGACGGGGAGGGGTGGAGGAGGTGGCGAGGACGAGGAGGACGAGGACCAGGGACTCCGACCTTGAAAGACGAGAGCCCCTTGGGCCTGCCATCCAAGTGAGAGTCCCGCGATGGAAACGAATCACCCTCGGCCCTTCTAGCCACAAGAAAGGCCACGGGGGAGGATCATCATACTCAAGGTACGTGTCAAACGATAAGTAGCCCCGCATCCGACAAGTAACAAAACTCCGTCCGCACAGCGGCTGCTCACATTCACATCCTGGTCGTACGCAATGCAGAAGCCGTGAACCGGATCCCCCTTTGAAACGGCGCCACCCTACACTCGTGTAACTGTTGCGCAAGCTTGAGCTTCTGGAAACAAGCCAAATCTGTCCCAAAGCGAGTGCCCCACCCGAAACTGAGCGGCCCTACATCCTTGTAGCTGTTGGGAGAAGACAGGACGAATGCGCGCGGAGTTGAGGAGATAACCACGATTTGAAAAGGAGCCGTCTTTCCTCACATTGAATGTTGGGAGTTTTTGAAGGCGATCGAGAACGACTCTAAGGCACACGACTTTCATCCGGGCAGGTGAATGTGTCAGGCGAGCGTGCGCGGAACTAAAGCGAGAGACACATGCTGTAGACCACGCGCCTTGCATCTCTATGACTGTTGGCAGCTTGAAAGGCGCATGGAAGCGGCGCCAGGGCGAGCTCCAAATTTCGAAATCTGCCCGCCATCTGTCTGCGTAGCTGTTGGAATCTGTCAACAAGACTCTGTCATCCGGAACATAGTTCCGGATCCACCCGTGTACCGATTGCGACGCTCAAGCTTCGAGGACGCAGAGGCGCAGATGTCTCGGGCGACGCGCCCAGCCCCTCGTACAGGCACGTCGGCGCTGCCTGCACGAAAGAGGGCAGGAGCAGCGGGGGGGAGATCGCGCGCCACTGAAGAAAGAGACAGAGAGAGAGAAACAGCAACAACAACAAAGAAGTAAGAGAGAGAGAGATAACATAAGAGAGCGTAAGAGAGAGGGAAAGAGAGAGAGAGAGAGAAAGAGAGAGAGAGAGACAACACATATATATATATATATATAGAGGTATATGTATATATATATATATATATATATATGTATATTCTGTGATCAGCCACGAGACCCAGGGGAGGCCCCTCGGAGAGGAGCTTTTATGCACCCCGGGGCGGCGGCTTTGACTCTGGCCACCCTGCGGGCCCACGACGGGCCCCCCCCCCCTGGGGAAAAAACACAAAGCCACACCGCCGGTCCCGCTGTCTCCGCGAGCGCGGGCCTTCCGCTCTCCAAGCCTGGCGCCACGGCTCTTTTTGGCACGTGAATCGAAAGAAACTCATCAAAAGCGCTAGTTACAAGCATCTAGATGCCCGAACTCGGTCTGCTACCAGAGCTGGAACCCAAAAACTATTCGTACTCTGCTAACTTTTTAAGAGAGATGATGATTTTCTTAACTTAAATCGAGCTGCAGATGAGCTCCCGGCCTCGCCTCCGCTCCGGCCGGGGCTCGGGCGGCAGCCTGCCGGGTCAGGTTTTCTGCCCGGCCGCGGGTCCCCGGGGCCAGCCCGGGCCGCGGCTCCGCCGGGCAGACCGAGGGGCCTGTCGAGAGCGCCCTCCAGCAGCTTGCGAGCCAGGGATTGGGCGCCCGAGTTATCCGGGGTAACTCGGGTCCGGGATAACTCGGGTTTGGATTCCCTAAAAAAAAGAGCCCGAGTTAGCCCTGACCCGAGTTACCCCTGATGATGTGGGGCTCTGGACGCCCGAATTATCCGGGGTAACTCGGGTCCGGGGTAAGTCGGGTTCGGATTCCCGAAAAACGAACCCGAGTTAGCCCTGACCCGAGTTACCCCTGATGATTCGGGGCTCTGAAGGAAGAGCCCCTGGCCTTCGACGCTGTCGAAGCGGCCCTCCTCGGAACAGAAAGCCTCGGCCCTGTCCATGAGGTTCAGCACTTCAAACGGACAGCGCACAACAGACCTTTGGCCAACAACATTTCGTTTTGAAATTGCCGACTGAAGGACACACATTTCTTGGCACGTCGATCTGCTTCATGGTTGCCTTGTCTCCCAAATGCTGCGCCCTCCGCGGACGCCAGCCTGCGTGGAGTGACCTCGGACCTTCTGAGCAGAGACTCCTGAGAGATCACCATCCGAAAAAACTTGGGCGCCACCACTGGGCACGAACGTTGGCTGACCTCCCCCCCAAGTCGAACATGTATGGAAACCACTGCCCCTCAGGGATGTACCACCCAGTCGCGCGACAAGGACACAGCCACACACGTGCACACCACGCCTGAGAGAAATGAAACGCTCCGCGATGGGAAGAACTCAATGGCAGTATAAATGGTCGCATCCGGCACCAGACTGTGCGTCCAATAAGATGTCAGAAAGACCTGGAGAGGAAGGACAAGGAGACGAGGAGGAGGAGGAGGAGGAGGAGGAGGAGGAGGAGGAGGAGGAGGAGGAGAGGGAGGAGGAGGAGGAGGAGGTGGAGGAGTTGGAGGAGGAGGTGGAGGAGGAGGAGCAGGAAACCAAAACACCAGGAGCAGCGTTCAGGCCATCCTGCCATAATTAGGCGAGCCGCTGTGCGCAACCAGCGTCCTGCGAGACTGGCAAACCACCGAACAGCATACCTGAGCCCAAGCTCCGTGAGTGACCACGCACGAACGTTGGCCGACAAGATCGAATAACTTTTTCCGGAGCCAAAGGCGCCCCACAGCGGGCCAAGAGGGCCGCGAGACAGGCACGGTGGCGGGATGGGCCGAATCTGGTCTGGGCATCGCGAGCAGTAGGCCGCGGGAAACTCTTGCAACATGTTTTGACCGTGCAGCTCCGGGCCTGCGAACCGCGACCCCTGACCCAGGCGGAAGTGGAGAGGCATGAGAATGAAAAGGGCATGCCCAGTCCTGCTGGCCGCTCTCGCGGGGCCAGGGCGGCGGGAGCACGCTGGACCACGACGCGTTGCAAAGCTGATGAAGGCGGCCGGCTCCCGGCCGCCCTCGCGGAACCAGGGCGGTGGAGCCACGCCACGCTGGACCACACTGCGCCGCGAAGAGGGGCCGGCGGACGGGAGCAGAAGACAGGGGAGAAAGAGGGGAAGCGGCGTGCTGGCACCCAGGGGCCTGGCCTCGAGCAAGGTACCCTGGACTCTGGACAGACAGCGCGGCGCCGCGGCGAGGAGGACACGGGAGGCGGAGGGGAAGAGGGGGAGGGGAAGAGGGGCAGCGCAGCGGGCGGCAGCTTCTGTGCCCCGGGCGCCACGCGGCAGACCGCCCGAGGCGCCATCCGAGGTCGCAGGGCGCCCTGCGGATCCTTGGCGCGCAGACGCGCGGCTTCTGGTCCCTCTGGAAAAACAGAAGAGGAAGAGCCGAGGGGGGGAGGAGGGGGAGGGATACGGGGCGGCAGGAAGCAAGCAGGCAGGCAAGAAGGCGGCAACGGGGGGGGAGCGCGGCCACGGGGTGTGAGCCACCGAACCCCGCTGGTTAGGCGGGCTCCCGGGGCGCAAAAGGAGCGCGCTGGTCTCCAGTCCTTGCGCCTGCCGGGCATAGCCAGTGCGTTGTGGGCCCGCGCGATCTTGTCACAGGCTGCGCTGCTACTCGTTCGGCCACTCGGATATGAGGCTTCGGCCGCCCGCGCATCTGCGGCCAAGATCGGGCGCGGGGCGCGGGGGGGGCGCCGGCCGCGCGCGTCTGCGGGCGCTCGGCCGCTCGTTGCACATCTCCCTAGCTCGTGGCCCATGGGCCCCCCTAGGACTGCCATAAACCCCGAATCCCGCCGGGCACGGCGCCCCCCCCGGCCCGCCCACTTGTCGTTTGGACATGCCTGCTCGGGAATAGCTTGGTTTTCCTTCCCGCGCGCGATCCCGCCGCCGGCGGAGCCGCCGTCGACCGCGCAGTTCTGGATCGCGGCGTCTCGATCCGCGCGCGCAGGGGACTCGCCCCGCCCCCGAGCGAGCCAGTCCGTTGCCGCCATGGCGCTGCGTTGCAGCCCCATGGCGGCAACGGACTCGCCCGCTGGGGGCCAGGCCGGCAAGCCGCGACGAGGCGGCGCTCCAGGCCGTACCGCCGATGATGGTAAAGGCCGGGGGTCGCGACGCTGGTTCGGGACTTCGACCGCCCTCGCGCGCGCGGCCCAGACGAGCGGCGGGGCTGGGGGGAGGGCCTCGACCGCCCGCGTGTCTGCGGCTTCCTCCACTAGCCCGCTGCGACCTCCCTGCGGGGTCTGCACTGGTCCCTAACTTTCGGGCTGCCCGGGGGCCCCCGCGCGCCCCGTGAACGCCCCCCGGCTGGTGCGATCCAGCAGGGCTCGAAACATCTGGACTGCGTTGTTGAGCCCCGTCAAGAGCGCCCGTGCGAAAGCCCCCTATGCATCTGAAAAAAGAGATCTCCCTCCTCGTGCCTCCTCTGGTCCTCTGGTCCAAGCCTCAAAGCATGCTTCGCGGGACGCATTCCACGGCGAGACTTGAAGACCGCATTTGGAAATTAACGACTGGCGCAGCCCCCCAGTGCCAGGCGAGTTCAGAAGGTCCACCATCTATGCAACGCGCTACTGCATCCAATAATCGTGGTCGTCCTGTGATTCGCCTTGCATGTTCCAGAGCCATCTGGAGCTCCAGGCCGACATGTCCTGCAACAGCTGCCGTCAGACCCTGGATGGGTCTGGTGGGCTGTAGGCAACGGCCAAGGTGTGGGGGGGCCCTGGATGCCTTCGATCTCACCTCGGCAAGAAAGCCAGAGCGATGGGTTGAAGACTGGCTCCTGCCTCGTGCATGGCAACTGCTTCCCTCGCCGCTGCAATGACTGATTTGTCTTCCTCGCCTCCAGGATCGAGGTCGGCGTCGTCGCCGTGTCCTTCGGTGAGGAACTCCGCAGTGGAAGGTGTAGAGGCAGCAGCAGGCTGACTGCCAGTAGAAGAGCTGCCAAAACCTTCAGCGGCCATGGGAGCAAGTCCTGCCTTGGGCTTGTCCTGAGGGGCACCGCCGTCATTCGCCCTCGGCTTCTTGCTGCCGACCTCGGTCGCACCTCTCGGGCTTGATTGCGTAGCTGCATGATGTTGCCTGCTGCGGGGCCGACAGCGTCACCGATGGCCATATGCACCTCCTTGCCGATGCGGCTCCTGAACTCCTCCCACTTACGACGCCCCGCATCCCCAATATCAAGATCCGGTATGTCAAGGACATCGCCGTCCACGATCTCGACGACTTCCTGGCTGGCTTAACAACTGCGATCCGTTGATCTGCGAGCCACCAATCCCACTGGCAACCGCCTCCGACGTAGCTGGCGTGTCTGGGCCCTTCGACCTTTCCGCCCTGGCACCAACTCGTCCTGCCGCCCCTTCTTCGCCGCGATCGCTGCTGATGCCGCTCTGGCGGTCGCCTGCTTGTGCTCCTCTAGCCACTGGGCCGCCTCGTCCTCCTTGGAACACACATTTCCAATTGTGTTTGGGCCCTGTGGCAGACAACGTGTCTGGCCGACACGCGGCCTCCAGCAGCTGTCTTGGTGGAGCCGCTGCTGGGGCACTCTGGAACACGATGCCCTCCAAGGCCTTGAGCTCCGCCGCTCCCTGGTTACCCAACATCTCTCTGAGCTGTTCCACGAACTCCGACATGGTGGCTGCCTGTTGAGAGGCGGTTCGTCTTGGCGCAGGGGTCGGCGATTCCGGTTGTTCAACGCGCCCACGAGCTTCTTCCCGATGCCATGTGCCTGGCGGACCATGGGTCACCTGGCCTCCACCTCCTTTGCCGTTCGACCATAGTTACCCCAAGAGATGGTGTTGGCCATGGCATATATCGAAGCACCGCAGTGGAGTCGCAGCTGACACAAAACGTGCGGCACTTCCAGTTCCATCCAAACTCCACGCTGAGCAAGTGAGAGGACCCTTGGCATCCTTGCCCATGGGCCCCGACAGGAGCTCACCAAACGAAGAGAATGCACGGGTGGTGGCTCAACAAGACCAGTGATGGAAGGAAGCCCTGCCACGTGGCCAGGTTCGCACGTGGAGGCGCACCTCCCACTTGCCACACCCAACTTACTGAGCCTCCTTGCTCGGGACTTGAGCCAACATGGCTACGCAAGGAGAGGGAAAGGATGAGGAACACCAGTGACAGCGGGGATGTTGTCCAACAACAGAGATACTGAACAAAGTGAGAGAGAGAGAGACAGCGGGATGGAGAGAGGGAGAAAGAGAAAGAGAGAGAGAGAGAGAAAGAGAGAGAGAGAGAGAGAACATGAGAAAGAGAGAGAGAGAGAGCGGGAGGCGCATTACGTCGAGAAACGGAGGAGGCGCAGGAGGGGGAAGAGAGGGGGAGGAGTGAAGGGTGGCGACATGGGGAGGATGAGGAGAAGGTGGAAAGGGTAATGGGGGTACCACGAGGAGACATATGGAAGAACGGTGAGGATGGCAACGACGTCGAGGCAAATCATGAGGAGGAGAAACTGAAGACGGTGATGGACATTAAGGGGAGGAGGAGCAAGGAGAGCAGGACGAGGAAGGCCAGAGGAAGAGGGCCAACCTCCTCTCCTCGAGCAGGTCGGACACGACCCACCAGATGGCGAGCGCAGATATGGCCGTGACGGCGCCAGCGTACGAGAAGACCACGCCGTAGATCCCCATGGCGCCGCGGCCGCCGGCAAGCGGACTCCCCCCACCCTTGGAAGATGGGCAAGAGGAATCCTTTCTGCCATGGTGGCGCCTCGCTGAAGGGTTCGGGAAGGAGCACCGAAGGGATCCACAATCTCTCCCTACAGGGCTTCCCGGCAGCTGCGCGCGCGGTGCCGTCGCGCCGCCCGAACAGTGTGTGGCACCGAGCTGTTCACGCTCTGCTCCGTTGAGCACTCGATGGTGTCTTCCGGATGCTCGCCGCGCTGCCGCCTCTTGGGCGCCTCGCGAGCGCCCGAGGAGGAAGAGGAGGATGACGAGCAGGAGGGGGAAGGGTGAAGAGGGAGAAGAGGGACGATGATGATGATGATGAAGAGGAGGAAGAGGAGGAAATGGAGGAAGAGAAGGAGTAGGAGGAGAGGAGAAGGAGCAGATGAAGAAGGAAGAGGAGGAGGAGAAGGAGACCACTTGTGACGTATGCTCGGGTGGCGCCGCGCTGCCGCCCGTGCCGCCCCGTGGGCGCCCCGCGCTCGTGATGTGTGCCGGGGTGGCGCCGCGCTGTCGCCTCTTGGCCGCCTCCGTGGGCGCCTCGCGGGCGCCCCGTGCGCGGGGGGGGGCCATGCCGAGGCGGCGCCACGCGGTCGCGCCAGTGCCGCCTCGTGAGCGCGCCGTGCTCCGAGCGTCCACGGCACAGCTCCACACCGTAGCCTCTGTAGACCACACAGAGTTTACACCACACAGATTGCACAACGCGGCTTCCCCCGAACAGCTTACGCCGAACATCGTTCAGATCTAGTTCATGCCGCCTGTCTTGCACGACACAGCTTGCACACCAGATATCTTGCACACCGCATGATTTCCACCTCCGCAGCTCACACCACATAATTTGCACGACACAGTTCTCACCACATAGCCTACGTCGCATAGCTTTCACCTCCCTTGTGCAGTAACGTTCTGCTTGGGGCCCGTGCTGGCTAACGTGATCTGAAGAAACCAAATAAACTTAACACGAATAGGATGCCCCATGGGCCCCCAGGCACCTTTCCGGATCTTCTCCAGCGCCTGCCAGGAACATACCGGGAACCTCTCAGGATCCACTGCGGAGTCCCCGTGGAGCCTGTCAACACCCTCTCAGAGCTACATTTTGGAAACGACCCGCCATGCATCTGTGTGGCTCTTGGACTTTTCACGTCGGCGCACCGAAGCCCACGCCTGCGGCGGAGGGTGAGAAACATCAGCCCAAGAGTTTTGTGCTTCAGGATGAACAAGTACTGCCGTCTACAGCGAGACGCCCTACCTGGCCAGTGGACGCGCCTGGTGGTGCGACAAGATGGGATACGTAGAAGGAACGGAAAGGGATGGAGCAGAAGGGTTATGATGAGGACGAGGATAATCAGGAGAAGGGGCAGGATGATGAGGCCTGCGAAGGAGAAACAACAGGAGGGTGTCATACGTATTTCGGACTCCACAAATGACCCTGGAATGCGTTTTGACCGCAATCTCGAAGTGAACCCCGCCGTGGCGAGGAGAGTGCCCTGGAGGCTAAGGAAAACCACCAATGTCCTCGTCCTCCCCCTCCTGAATCCACAGAAAGGTCAGATCTACAAGCCACGCCGCCCCCTCTGAGCTCTACTGGAGGCGCGACGGTACTGCAGGAGAAGGAGGGCATAAAACCTCTTCACCGGAGGAGGAGGACGAGAAGGAGGAAGGAGGCCTGGAGAAAAGACTGAGGAGGGTTGAGGGGACGATCGAGGAGAAGGAAGAGGAGGCGCCGAAATTGAGAAAGATGGATACAGAGAGAGAGGGCGCATGATCTGGATGCTGGCGATGATGATAATGATGATGACGATGATGATGATGATACTGATGATGATGATGATGATGATGATGATGATGATGATGATGATGATGATGATACTGATGATGATAATGATGATGCTACTGCTGATGATTATGATGATGCTGATGATGACGATGGTGGTGATGACGATGATGTAGACGATGTCGACGATGAAGACGACGAAGACGACGACGAGGATGCTGATGATGATGGTGATTCTGAGGATGATGCTAGTGGTGCTTCTGAATGTGATGACGATGAGGATTATGATGATGCTGATGATGACGATGACGATGATGATGATGATGAAGATGAAGATGAAGATGAAGATGAAGATGAAGATGATGATGATGATGATGATGATGATGATGATGATGATGATGATGATGATGATGATGATGATGATGATGATGATGATGATGATGATGATGATGTTGATGATGATGATGATGATGATGATGATGATGACGGGGAGGAGGATGATGATCACGAGGGCTCCTCCTCATCCTGTTCCTCCTAATCGTCCTTCTTCTCCTCCTCCTCCTCCTCCTCCTCCTCCTCCTCGATCCTCCCCCCTCACGGCAGTGCGACCAGCTCACCAGGCCTGCGGCCCGAGCCCCACTGCCAGAGCCGCCGCGGCTGCGGGCGCGCGGGGCGGCGCGCGTGGGGGCTGGCGGCGGGAGCAGCGGCCGTCGTCGTCGTCGTCGTCGTCGTCGTCGTCGTCGTCGTCGTCGTCGTCGTCGTCGTCGTTGTCGTGGTCGACGACGGCGACGACGTCGTCGCCGTCGCCGTGGCCGTGATGGCGGTCGTAGTCGTGGTCGTGGTCGTGGTCGTGGTCGTGGTCGTGGTCGTCGTCGTCGTCGCCAACGCCGTCGACGTGGTGGTGGTGGCGGTCGTGGTCGTGGTGGTCGTCGTCATCCTCGTCGTCGCCGTCATCGTCGTCGCCCTCCTCCTCCTCCTCCTCCTCCTCCTCCTCCTCTTCCCTCCGCTGCTGCCCCTGCTGTCGCTCCTCCTCCTGCCCCCGACACTAAATCTGCTGCCGCCCCTCCTCCCCCCCCCAGCCCCGTCGCGCCCCGTGCTTTCTCCCCGTCCCCCTCCCGCTCCTCGTCCTGCCCCTGCTTCTCCCCGCCCCTCCTACCCCCCCCCCCCACTCGTCGTGCCCCTGCTTCTCCCCGTTCCCCTCCCGCTCTTCGTCCTGGTCCTGATGCCCCCCTATCATCCCTCAAACCACAGCACGCTATTTCTCTCTCTCTCTCTCTCTCACTCCGTCTCTCTCTCTCTCTTTCTCTCTCTTTCTCTCGGTCCTGCTGCCGTCTGTCGACATGCACTACTACATGCATCAAGGGACGCCGGCGGCGCCGCGACCAGAAGACCCCGGGCGACCGCCATGGCGAGCTTCAGGCTGATCGGTGTGCGCCACCAGGTACCCCATGGGGTCGGCAGTGCTCTCTCTCTCTCTCTCTTTCTCGCCCTATCCTCGGCACGAAAACGAGCCCCGCATGGACAAGTTGCAGCGTTCCTCTTTCACTTTCTGTTCTTCTTCCTGACCCTGCAGAGGAGGAGGGGAGGGGAGTAGGAGAAGGAAGAGGAGGGGATGGGAGAGAAGGAGGAGGGGTTGGAAGAGGAGGAGTTAAAAAGGAGGAGTGAGAAGATGATAGAGAAAAGGAATGGGCGGACGGGGAGGAGGAGGAGGAGGAGGAGGAGGAGAAGGAGTAAATGACGGACAGGGACGAGAGAAGGAATCTGATAATGATGCTGATGATGAGGATGCTGATGATGATGATGATGATGATGATGCTGATGCGGCTGATGATGTTTGTGGTGGTCATGGTGATGACGACGATGATGTTGATAATGATGGTGATGTTGATGATGATGTTGATGACGATGACGAGGATGATGACGATGCTGCTGCTGATGATGATGATGATGCTGATGCTGATCATAGTGATGATTATTGGGCGGACGAGGAGCAAGAGGAGGAGGAGGAAGAGGATGGGGAAGATAAGGGGGAGCGGGATGAACAAGTGCAGGCGTATGGCGCAATCAAACATTCCCTCTCTGGCCGCCGGTCGGCCCAGCCGCATGCATTGCCAGCCTGGCCCCAGGCATTTCTTGCGTGCGCGCATGGAACTCATGGTCATTGAGGTCGAAGCGGAACTCGTGATGGTCATGGGGGAAGCTTGCGACGCAGAGTCTCCGCTTATAGGGCACGCGTTGGTAAGGAAAAGGGAAGAGGAGGGGGAAAAGGGGGGTCAAGGATAATGATGTTCTTGATGATGAGAGGGAGAGAGAGAGAGAGAGAGAGAGAGAGGAGGAGGAGGAGGAGGAGGAGGAGGTGGAGGAGGAGGAGGAGGAGGAGGAAGAGGAGGAGGAGAGGAAGAGGAGGAGAAGGCGGAGGAGGAGGACGAAAAGGAGGAGGAGGAGGACGAAAAGGAGGAGGAGGAGGAGGACGAACAGGAGGGTGCAGGCTCAGAAAGAGTGGGGCGTCACGCGACACCGCCACCCCAGCAGCGCCCACGACCCCCACGACCTTTCCATTTGCCTTTGGAACCATCTTTCGGCCTAGGGGCAGAATCTAAATCACGCTCGGGGTGGGGGACTTGGCAGGGGCTTTGCAGCACATGTAAAACCAGGAGCTAAAGGGATCCCAAGGACCCCCCCGAAATCTTTCCTCTCGCCAGTACCTCCCTGAAGCGAATGCTGCCTGAAAGAAACTCCCCTCGAGCGCGAGACCTGCATTGTACTATTTCTCTCAAGGATCCGGAATGTGCGCCGGGACGCGGCGCCTCGGGTCCCCCTGCGTCTCCATCGGCCCGACGCCCGTCCCGATCATCCTCTCCAGCGGGCCACCCGGGGCTGCTCCGCAGATGAGCTGGCTTGCCTCGAGCATGGTGAGCTTCTTTAGCTGGGCCGCCACTGCAATGCCGATCTGCTGGTCGCGGTGGAGGCTCCTGCTGGTGATCGCCCGCGGCTTCTCGTCTCCCTGCGCCTCCAACGGCCAGCAGCGGACGCAGGGAATGTTGCGACCCATCTGTGCAAGGTCCGCCGTGAAGATGTGCTGCTGATAGACATCAATCTCTTCCTTGAGCGCACCCTGCCCCTTGTCGTTCCGCCCTGTGAATGTCTTGCCCACTCCGCGACTCTGCGCAGGGTCGCCGCCATCGCTGCGTGCCGGGGCGGTGGGGCCCTCGCCTTGAAGTCCGGCGTCGTTTCCTGACTGGGCCTCCTTGTTCAGTTCGCGGGGATTCATGTTGCAGGCTACTCCAGCGGATTCGCATGCCAGCGGGGGGCCCGCCCCCGCGTTGGGCAGCCTGTAGTCGAGGCACAGCGCGTTTTTGACGCCGGCCATGTCCCCGACGAGGCTGATGGTGAGTCGCCTGCGGGCCACCGCGAGCTTGTCGCCGCCGCCCTTCTTGCTGCCGCCTTCGCCTCCGCTGCCCTTGCCGCCGCCGTGGTGCTGCGCGCGCCGGTCGTCGTCGGCCCCGCCCTCGCTTCGCGGGCGGCGCGCTGAACTGGGGCGGCAGGGCCGCGGCCATTGCCGCCTCGCTCTTGCCCGGCATGGTCGGCGCAAGGGCGCGGCCGAAGAGGGAGGCGAAGGTGCGCGCGGTTGCGCGGATCGCCCGGGCTCGAGCCCTCGAAATCACTGACGGAGCACGCGCGAGATGACGCCGATGTAGCCTCGCGCAAGGATGATGGACCTGACTGTTTGACAATGTGCCCTGGGCAACGGCATTCGCTCGGCAAACAGAAGCCCGACGACGATGGGCGCGTGCTTTTGTCGGAGCAAGTGCTCGGCATAAGTGTCGGACCCAGTGAACTCGTCGGGGGTGGTTCATCAGATTTCGTATGTTTGCGAAGCTCGCATCGCGCGATTCGGCGCCGTGAGTCTCATTGGGGGGGGGGGCTGTATCTCCATGGGGGAGCGGGCGCCTCCGTCGCGATCTCGGCCGACTACTGCTGCGGCAACTCGGCTTGGACTGCCTCAGATGGCGGCGGGAGTGCGCCGCGAATTGCCTGGCTCTGTGCGCGGCAGCGTTAATGGCGGTGGAGAAGAGCCGGCGCGTCGCATCCAGCAGACGCCAGAAGTCGCGAGCAATCTCGGCATCAAGGCCCTGGTCGAGCGCCTCCGAGAGCTCGAAGTCGCCTCGCAATTACAGAGGCCAGGGACAAGGAGAAAGACACAGAGTTTCCGTCGACGTAAAACGACGTCCTTCCTCAAAAGGCATTGTCCGGAATATCGCGCAAAGCGCCGGCCCGCGGCGAGTGGGTCGACTGACCCAGCTCTGAGGTTGCCAGATTGGTTGCATGTGGAGTTCCAAAGGGGGGGCGGGGGGGTTCTCGAAAGCTTCCAGTGACCCAAGAAGGCCTTGTTCGCAATCGAGCGCGGGCTGGGGGGCCCCCCCCCCCCCCCCCAGCCCGCGTCCTTGCCGGCCATCGCAATCCTGCAGAAGCGCGCGAGGGTAGCCTCCAGCCTGCGCATTCAGTAAGCCCCAAGAGAGACGCTTCCAGACCGCTCAGAAGCACATTCAGCCCGAACCCCTGCAGCGAAAGCCCCTCTTACATCCAGGGGGCTTTGAAGTGCCTGGCCGAGCGCAGGAAGCGAATCGACGCGCGGGCGGCCGATGCCCTGCCGTCTCGGAGTGCCGGATGGGGCCCCAGGCGGCGAACTGGACCCCGCGTGCTGCCCTCCAGAGAACCCCCCCCTTCTTCGCGACCTGTCCGAGAAGGGGCCGCGCGCCCCGCGGGCAAACGTGCGCTCCTGCTTCGCCATATTCTGGCCGTGGCCGACGGGGGGCAACCTGTTGTTCAACGGGTGGTCGTGGTACTTCAGCTCGTGTAGAAACTGGGGAACAGCGCGTCGTTGTCGACCGGCGCAATCGCGCGCGTGTCATCTGCGCACGTAAGATCTCAGAGGCCCGAGGATGTATCTTTCCACGTGGCGGCGGGCACTGCGCGGCGTGCGTCAGTCCGCTCAGCGCCCCGACTTCAGTCCGCCACCAGCGCGCGGATGGTGCCGCCGAAAGCCTTCGCGACGAGAAGATCTGCCCTGCTCATTTTTCATGACAACCCGACCTCTCCCCTCCCCCCAGCGCGAAGAGCGACTGCCGCTTCGCGACAGCGCAGTCGACGCGAGGCATGGTCCTCCCCCGACACATGCTGCCGCGCACCTGGCCCGTTGCCGCTCGCAAGAGCATGGCCCATTTTCCTGCGACGAAGACCGTGGGTTCGACGTTTTTTGGGAAGCCGACAAGAAACAATGTCTGCCACTTAGAATACCAGATCGCCTCCTCCTGCCGGTCGCGAGCCCATGCTCCGGGCGTGCGCTGCAGCTTCTCAGCGAAAAACAAAACCATGCCTGGGGTGGGTCAGATGTGGGCCACCCACTCGCCTGCGGGGCCCAGCTCGTGTTTTTTTGTTTGTTTGCATGGAGGGCCCTAGGCTAAGTTTCCACTACTTCGGAACGATGTTTTGCAATCGCACGATCGGGGCGCCGACCTCGAAGAGGAACCAGAAGGTCTCATCTGCGGTGTGTGTGTGTGTGTGTGCGTGCGTGTGTGTGTGTGTGTGTCTGTGCGCGTGTGTGTGTGTGGGGGGGCCTTCGGATTCCAATGCCACCCGTGCGCCGGCGTCGCCACTTCGGCAAAAGAACCACGTGCCAGAGTTCAAGCGTGACGCAAAAAGACAACGCATCACGGCGTTTGGGTGCATGTGTGATGCGCTTCATCATACGACCGATGTCCTCCTTTGCTTTCTCCTTGACCTCCTCAGCCTCCAAGAAATCGTAAGTCTTCGTCATGCTCATCCCTCCAGGTCTCCCAATTCAGCGGTACTGCGCTCATTCTTCCATCCTTACCTTCAAGTCGCTAAGTGTCGGTCCAAGCCTTTGACGACGGCATGCGAGCTCTGGCAGTCTCGCTTCTTGGATGCGAAGCGGCAAAGTGCCGTCCTTCGGGGTGCCGACATCGTTTCAGCGATTCGGCGGTGAAGCCAGCGGCCCATCGCCGACCCAACATGTCGGGCTCGGCGGCGCTGAACAGCCCCGCCGACGTAGCATGTGCAACCCAGAGACCAAATATCACGAAGCTGCGCGTCGAGCGCGCGCCCGGCTCGCGCGCGACTTCGGCGTTCGAAACCGGACGCGTTCTCGAAGGAATCGTCGTCACCGCGTCCTTGTCGTGTTCTTTCGTGGAGATATCTTTTCCACCATCCAAGAAGACACTCTCCAACGTCTGGAATATTTCGTCGGGGGAGCCGCGGTCGCAGAGCCATGCCAGGTTTGCGTTGTCGAGGTTGGCCTCGACCTGTTGCAAGAAGTCCGTTCGCCGAGGGTGGGTGCGCAGGACCAGCGTGGCAGCGTTCCTGTCCAACGTGAGGTTGTTATCCTCCTCATTCTGGAATTGGCCGCTCTTGCAAGCCATCGGCACAGCACGTGGAAGATGATCGCGCGGTGGTGGCCGACAGATGGGCTGCAGTTTGGCTTCCAGCTTGCGTAGTGCACTACGAGCATGAATGAGATGCTTCAGCCGCCACTTCCCCAGGTCCTCTGCCCAATCCAGGCCCCAAGACGGGCCGAGAGGCCCCGCGAGGCTCCGAAGACGGTCCAAGAAGGCCCCGGATCGTGGAAAGATCGTTTCAAAACGCCGGAGGTGGCTGCAAAATTCCCCAAGAGGCTTCCAACACGCCCTAGGAGGCCTCGAAAAGGCCCCCCCAGGAGGGCCCCAAGAAGCCAACATCATTGATTTTCCGAAAGTGGTTGAAGGGTTTGGGGGGTTTGGGATTTTCCGCTTTCCGACGCTCCAAGACGGCCCAGGAGGCCCCCGACACCGCCCCAAGACTGCCCAGGAGGCCCCCGAAAGGGCCCCAAGACGGCCCCAAAGCGCCCCAAGGCCCCAAGACGGTCCCAAAAGACGCCCAAGAGAGGGAACGCGAACAGAAAATCCAAGCAGTCCGCTGATTGGGCTCCCCACGATGCCCCCATTGGCCCCCAGGAAACCCCAAAAGGCCCCCAAGAGGCCAACATAAACCCCCAAGGTGACCAACATAGGCACCAAGAGGCCTCCAAACGGCATCCAACATGCCTCCAAAGATGTCCCCGAAGAGCACCCCCCACGAGATCTCAACGAACATCAAATAGGCTTCATACGCACAACCCAAACACGGTGGCGGGATGGGCCGAAG